TGAGAAAAGATTATCTTTGCAAAAATGCATAGTTATTGTGGTGCAAGGAAAATATTTGTATTATGAGGATACTTTCTGAGACAATTTTTCCAATTTAAGCGTTTGATTTTCACGGACCAAGGATCTAACGAAAGAGAGTTTTATGTTCTGTTCTCGTATTCTATTTGTCTCGTTCAATCTCGTTCTGAATGCATCACGACGCGACAGTCCAATCGCTTAATTTTTTTTTATATACACATATGTATTCTTTTCTTCCGAACTGAAGGCTGCATGGTTGATCAGGCCTTCTTGCACTCGTGTCCAACAAAGCGTTCTTTTCAGCCGCTCTCTCTCAGCGTTTTATTTACAAGTACCACTCTTTCACAAACGCGACTCGAAACGCAAACCAGCCACCAGCCACTTAACGTAGAAACGAAGATAAGACACATTGTATTATGTATATATTTCTTCGACTGTTCATCGCTTAATTGTTCTGTTTTCTTAAGCTCCTCAAAGATCGATCCAAATATAAAATCAAATTAAACAAACTTGCATCCAAAATGAAAATCGTGGCAATTAATGGGACTACATTCATAGCACTCACTTCAATGATACTTAATTTTCACAATATACAAAGTAAATGAAATTGGGGTTGCGATTATTTTTGGTTTCAAGGCGGTTCAATTCCACCTGTTAAACTTTCAAGGATTATCAGCCGAGTGTTCTACCACGCGTCAATTGTACATGATCCGAGGTTTCGTTACTTGCTCGTACGAGAAACTACTCTGCTAATTAGCAGACGTTCCTCTGACGAAACTTGGATGAAAGGCGGCGGTTGAATATCTTCTCCCTCGGGGGAGACACATCCGTGGCTTCTTTATCTTTATCGCGAAGGTATTCAGAAGTGGAGGCGTCGAGAGCCATGCCCCGCTGCGTGTAAACTGGCCACTCTAACTGGCCGTTTAAGCATTTCAAAAAACGTGGAGGAACTCGACGAATTCCTTCCTCGAGAAAGAAGAAGACAACCCCCTTTGCGTTTTTATATTATTCTCTTTAATTGCTCTCCCCTTAATCTTTATCACTAGAAATTCTGAGATTTCAAACACGAACATTTATTGATATATTTTATAATATAACTTTTCACATATATTTTGTTTCCAATTCTGTGATGGCAAATTATTCTTCAATCAAACATTTTATTATTAGCTTGGCGAACTTTAAAATTATTCGATGGAATTTAAAGAGACCGCATCTGAACTAAGAGAATAAGGGTTGAATAATTGTACGAGGGTTTGAAACGCTTTGGAGGATCGGGAACGAGGATCGATCGATCGTTGAAATTGGCAAACCTTCGAGGAGCAGGCCAATAGAGAAAACAAATTCGATTATAGAAGATTTACGATTCCGAGTAACCCCGCAAAGGGCTTCTCGATTGGTGTCAGGCTCGGATCGGAACTATCGGAAGTCGGTCGGTCGAGAGCTGGTCGCTGGCGCGTATCCGGTACGCGTATATTTCTAGAGGATTCACCACACATAGAATAAATAATATAATATGTACACATAATATATAAGTATATATCTGGTACTCAACTATATTTCGTTAACTGCGTGTTCGTCCACGGTATAATATGATCGTATACGGTAGAACCTCTCGTACTCGAATTTTAACATCAAAACTTTTATTTGAAAACTCTGTTATCCAATATTTTAATATCAAACGTTATCTTCCAAATCTACGAGATACGAAGGTTCTGATATTTCAATTGTATTGAATTTTGCCATTAAAGAAGTTAATTAAAAACAGTAGCTTATTCTGTTTCCATTTTTTCATTGAATGTATGCAAACTTATGAAGACTTTTAATCCATTTTCGTGATTGCATAAAATCAACGACTGACTTGAAAATTACTCGATCATTTACATCTGCACGAATACGACAGGTTTTACTACGTATACACATATGCACAGTATCAAGCAGTCTCTCTTTCTCTCTCTCTCTCTCTCTCTCTCTCTCTCTCTCTCTCTCTCTTTCACTCATGCACTCTCTAATCAAACAAAGAAAAACAAAAGAACAGAGTATTTAAAAAAACGAGTAAGAAGCAAGGCGAGTAACAATATGGCAAAGATGGTATAACATTATTTGACAATAGTGTTGATGTAAGATGACGAGAGACATCAGAGAACAGGGGTAAGAACTAAAAGAGCAAACAAAACTAAAACTAAATGTAGTACGAACAAATATATGATAACAATGTTAACGAACGTAAAAAACGTAACAAAAATATATTGTTTGGTAAAATGGTTTGTTCAAGTACCTCAGCGAGCGAGGTCGTGCCGGCTAGAGCTGACTCTCTGTTCGTTCGGTTCGTTCACGAGGAGACGTAACACGATTGGTAGTAGTAGTAGTAGTGGTAGTAGTAGTGGTAGTAGCGGTAGTAGTAGTAGTGGTAGACGATAGCGGTAGTAGTCGATAGTAGCTGACAGTGGTAGTAGATAGCTGATTCGGTACTGGTAGTGGTAGTAGTAACGTGTACGTATACGCGGCGAAGGGCGCTGGGTCGGCGATCGGCTTGCTCTAACTTGACGGCAGTAAGCAACACGAGAAACAACGTTACACACTTTCAAGTTCAAGATCACATATGAAAAGAAATAATTCAATACTTTTTTTCTCTATCTGATTCTCTTAACAGATTAAAGTGTTCATCATCTATCGTGACTTCTAATAATATTTCCTTTTGGATCTGTATGATAATCTTTTAGTTCTACCTTTTATTCCTTCTGTTTGAACATTTCTATATTTAAACAGGGGTGCTTCTTATCGTTTCATTCTGATTGTCGATTTCCCTTCCATCTTTTTGGTACGGGGACAAAAGACCGAATTACATTCTCGAACGTTTCATACGATGCTTTTCATGGAATGAAACAAATATGCGTACGCGTCTGTAAACTAAAACGATATTGTGGAGATTGAATTCTTAATCGCTTCCCTGTAGCGTCGAAAGAACCAAGCAGAGTTTTCGGTTTGTTTCGGAGGGTCGAAAACGGCAAAAGAACGTCGATCAGCGAGGGTCGTCGAGGGACAAAAGACTGTTCCTCTCCTGGCTCGTTTCGATCGTTCCACTCTCTCGTGCCGCCTCTCTCCCGCCTCGTCTCTTTTCCCTTTCTAGTTTCTCGGTTTTTTAATTTCCGTCCACGATACGCTCATGCCCGCTTCTCTGCCCTTTTCTCACTTCTTTTTGCTGTCTTTTGTCCCCGCCTTTTTCTGCTTCCTTCCTTCTCCTTTCTCTTCTTTCAATCCTGCTCTTACTGCATCGACTTTCATCGTGGAAAGAAAATACATTGCGTGCTTCTCTGCGAACCCTTTAACTCTCCCCCACTTTTCACGTACTACACGCGCACCTTGTCTTCCCCACCCTCCCGTCTACTAGTCTAGGTTCGCGTTTTCGTTCTTTTCTTAATTTCTGCCACGAGATTCGAATCGGTTCTGGTTTCGATTGGTCTCTCAAAGGAGAAAGGACTGGGTATGGATGCTGGTCATCGAGAGGAAAATTCAGTGAAAGGAAGCTCTTCGATTCTCGAGGACTCGGTCTCCCCGTTATTCGTTAACAGATCTTTCCCTATCAGCGGCCGTGATAGCCGATTACTTGTCTTATCCTAATTTGTCGGGTTCTTCGGAATCTCCATAGCGTCTTCGACGACCGATTAACATTTTTTATACATTATTACCATTTGATAAGATTTTTGTAAAAAAGATATTATCCCAACGTAATAGTATGCACAAAAAAAATTGAGGATGCATAGGAAATTGTTTTGACATTTCGCTACGAAGTTTGCGAACAACTCGTTATCTTCAGAGTATGCATATTATTTCTAATAATCGATCGTTTTAGAAAACCTAGATGATCCGTTACCTATGGCTTACCTTGCAAAACTCTTGAACGCCGCGGACTGCGGGTTTATGCAAAGCGGCACCCGCGATGTATTCAGTTGTTCTGCTATAAATTTGTGCATTTCCTCTGAAACAAACAAAGTCAAATTATCATATTATTGTCCGTTCTCGAATTTACGAGAGTCACAGAACTTTTCAATCTACGTAATAAATCGTCTGTTCAACCAGATAAAACAGGATTGCTTTTATTATCTAAACCAACATAAATTTTCTCTTGTGTCACAATAATTTGGGCATCACAAATGATTTCAACATAAATCTGTAATGGGATCGCATTTTTACCAACTCTTTCTAAAATCTATACTCAAGAAAGGGATCTGAAAAGAAATGGTGTCACTGTCTTCGTTTACTGCCAGATCCAGCAATAAAAGTTTACGAACTTCTCAGAAAACTATCGAATGGCATCCCATTCTGTCCGAGACTTCTTTGTTCCCGATTCATTGCGTGTTTCGTCTTACGACACAGGTCTTGGACACGTGTGGCAGCTGGGACACGACTCGAGAAACGCAGTGCTACTTTATACGAGCATCGAACGCATGCCACTCTTATGACACGACTCGAATGCGAAATCGAACACGTTAGACGCGCTACATACTATAATACATGCATAATACGTGGGATTGTGTTATTGCACTTAATCACTAAGAACTGTCATTTAAATTAACGCAATATTTACTGATACCATTAAAAAGCTTTATAAGATTATTTATCAAAGAAAATGTATTAATTCAACGAGCTATAAATACAGAATTCGTATATAGAACATCTTCTAATGAAATGGAAGAGCAATCTCCAGAAACTAGAAATAAGAATTGCTCGTGCAACTTGGGCAATACCCTTCGAAAAAGGGTAAGGATTGTAATTCACATCTGAACAAGCTAACGGACGAATGGCGTGCGATTTTGAAATGCGTCATTAGACCCAGTTCTATAGAAAGAAAGTCGCCGGACGATAACTTCACGGTCTCCCGGTGATAAACGATGATTTATCGCGGCTACCGTTCTCGCAAGCGCATGCTAAACTTTATCGCGTATTCATCGTGTTCTGCGTAAGGTCCTAGCAGCACGTGTCCCAACGCAACGCAGCGTTTACTATTAATAATCCGCGTGACTCACGCCTATGAACTTTTTCTTATTTCCCAGTTCGCGATTAATCTGGCGCCTTGTAGCCAGCCTTGTTGGGAAACGCCCTTTCGCTAATAACTCTCTGCTCGTTTGCTTTTTGTTAACATTCGTCTCAAGTGGTTTTACAAGGAAGAGCTTGCAGAAGTTTATTGCACCACGAGTTACGACTATGTACTATCGCAGCTCCTTAAATGTATACATGTATCTAATGATATACTATCTACTGGATGAACTTGTTTCTGGTATTGAAAAATGCATTTTTTTCAACGTCGCTTACCTTTGACCTGTTGCACGGTGGTCAGCTTCCGTTCCCATAGATCATCGAACGGATGCGACGTGGCCGGCTCGAAGTCTCCCGTGTACTGCCTCATCCCGCCGCTGGTCGTATAGCAACACGTGCACATACACGAGTGATATCTCAGCCTACCCTCGTCTAAGTAAGGATGCGCCAGTGCATCCACCACGGTGATCCTCTTATCCTGTGAAAAGTTCGTGTACACGGTCAAACGGTAGATCTGTGGTTTTGAAAAAGAGCGACTTCTTTTGGCAAATTTCCCGTCTGTTACATAATTATTATCAAAACCATCGAAGGTGGAAATCTAAGAATTTGAACGAATTATTAATGTATTGTACAAACAGTTTGACATTGTGCTCGTCTGTAAGTATTCAGCAACCCACAAAAAGAACTCGATCTCATTCTATGGAAGCCAATAACAGCTAAGATCCTCTTTCACTGCAGTTTTACTGGGAAATTCTGACAAATGTATCAGATATTCGTAATACAAACTAGCTTCTCTTCAAGTTTTCTTTCGACTATTTTTAACTCTTATTTTTTGGTTGCTGTACGAGACAATTGATAATGAATATTTTACGTATAATGAATCGATGTTGGTATTATTTATGAACTGATGAATGAGTGAACATTTCGGGTATTTGTAGATTTAAGTTTCGGGGAAAAGTTGTGATTTATCGGTTTCGGATTGTCGACTTTCTAAGTTCCTTGAACGCGTTGCGATAAGAATGATTAAGGGCCGATAAAGCCGAAACTTGAACGTTTCTGGACAAACAGAAGTTCCAGATTCCACTTTGCGATCTGCTAAGGAAACTGATCGACTATTCGAGCTCTCCACTTGAAACTTGTTCTCTATCGATGTTGATTTTTATGAGTGAGGTAGATAATTCAATGGAAATTCTTCAGCCAACTTTCATTTTATCAACAAATAAATAATTACATTTGCAAGAACTTCCAAGGCAAACGCAATTTCTGTATAATAAAACTTTTTTATTCATTCTAACTGACTTCAGAAAATATAACGTAACTAGGGTATATTCTTTTCGTATCACAAACAAGAATTCTATACTTAATCAATATCAAGGAATCGATAGGGGGCCGTGGCACGTTTCGGGGGATGAAACTTACGGGATCGAAGACTAGCATCTGGCAAAGCAAATGTACAGCCTCGTGCGTCGCCTGGCTGCTGAGGGTGTAGAGGGCCGTCAACGAGGGTGGCTTTGGCGCGCGCCTGAGCATGTGGGATCTCGCACCCTCGCACGCGTACCTCATATCCTCGAGGGTCGGCGTGCCCAGCAATTCCGTGATCAGTTCCAGCTGGAAAGCGAACGAGAATATCCTCGATTTTAGAGCAAGTCATACTCCATCTCTTTCTCATTCTCCTCTCGATCACCACGTATTCTAATCATAGATTTATCAAGGGATGAAAACGCGTTCTATTTATTACAGATCCAACTTTGTTTGCAGTAGACAATTGTACCCGACGTAATTTCACTTCTATCAGAATATTCGATAAAAAATATTTGACATATGCACACCTCGTGTAGATATTGAACTTTGATAAACAGTTATAAGATGATAGAACATAGATTATGCATCAGAGAGATAGAATTGCAATGCAGAAATAAAGGAAATATTTTTGAAAGAAATTAATAGTACAAGGGCTAACCTGTTGCACAGGACTCTGTGCCTGGAAAAGGATCCTGCGACGAAGCAGTTCACCGAAAATGCAACCGACACTCCATACGTCCACGGCGGCTGTGTAGTGTCGCGCACCCATCAGGATTTCCGGCGCACGATAATACTGCGTCACCACTTCCTGCGTCATGTGCTTGTTCTGATCCGGTTCTTCCACCCGAGCCAAACCGAAGTCGCAGATCTATTCGCAAACGACACGTGTCATTTTCTGTTCAAGGCTCAATCCGCACAGACTAATCGTTTCCCTTTTCTCTATTAACGTTCGTTACATTAACGACATAAGTTCGAATTGCTTACCTTTAATACGCAGTTGCTGTTCACGAGAAGATTTCCGGGTTTAATGTCCCTATGTAGAATTCTGGCAGAGTGTAGGTATTTGAGACCTGGAACCAAACGACTATTTTAATTCTCGATTTTTCAAAAGTTTCCACTTCTGCAATTCTCGTGTTTAAAAATAGTCGAACTCGATTTACTTAAACTTTCCTATTCCTGAATTTCTCAATCTATCTGATATTCTACGCGGCGAGTAGATTACATTTCAACACAATCAAACTTTCCGACGAGTCGCTATTGCTGTAAGACGACCAGATGAAAAGACCGGGACGTTTCGCAATCGCAAAAGCGCGACCTCGATTTTCACAAAATTCCGTCGTTAGAGCTTCTTTTCTTTATTGTTCGTCAAATCCACACGTACATTCATCAGAGATTACAGACTCAACTGACACTAGCTTCTTAAAGTTCAAGACATGTTTAAAATTTGTTTTTGGCAAAAGCACTTATTATAAATATCTTGAAGTGTAAGTAAACATTATTTTTCATATTGATCCTTCGTACGAAATTGTGCTGCTCCGATTCCAAACGCTTATCCATCGTAAAGCGATCGTTATCAGTCCGTGATATATTATCGGTTTCGATTCACCGAATAAATGACATGGATACGAATATACATATATAAATTCGCGAGACGGTTCACTGGAACGGGATTATTAACATTTTATCGAAGTGGAATACTGAGTACGCTCGTTATCGACGACAAATTGTATCGAACCTGGAAACGATCGATGGTAATTTAGGACGGTCGATCGAAAACCTGTTTCCAATTGAAACGACGGACACAACAAGGTACTCGTTCTTATCGCTAACGAGAGATAAGAAAGAGGGAAAGAAGAATATTCTTGATATCCAATTCTGATTCTTCCCTTTAATTGAGATTAATTTCCTGATCGAAATATTACTTTGGCAATTATTAGAATTAACTCTTGGTCGATGGTGTCCGATTGTTTTATCGGTCTAATGTATTTACTGTAAAAAATGCTTTACAAAAATGTATTGTAAGCATTGAAGAAATATTATTCTTTTTTATTCCTTTTGTGCAACGAAGATTGATTCGGAAAAGATCGACTGCTATGCAAATTGCGTCATTAAACTCCTACATTAAAACCACCCCCTTTTGCAGACGGATCCTTTTCCACCCTCCTTTTCTTCCCTTGCTCGCAAAACCACGAGGCGAAACGATAAGAGGCCGAGGGGAAAGGGTGGGAGCGTGTATAAGGCTGGGCTTGGTTTGAGACGCGGGATGAATACAGGACAGATTACCGAGCCAACCCTCGAATCGCGACTCACGGAAAGGGGTAGCAGATGGCGGTCTAACGGACGTCGCGATGCCACGGCTTAAGCGCACGTGTAATCCTTTTCCAAGCGGACACGCGCTCGCTCTGTGATGTACCAACCCTTTTCAATGGTGCAATAATCATGATTTAGTCAGGGTTCAGTCGCACGTTCACGGTGTCTATGATTGTGTATCATTTTAATGAGTCGCGTTTGTTGGCAGTTTAGATCAAACAGTCTTCAAAGCTAGCGTCCCTCGCTACAGTTTCGTTCGCAGAGTTTTATATAATTAATTATTTATTTATTTACAACCATTTTTTTTATCAAATTTTTATATAAGTGATAAATTATTTGAATGAAACACGTGTTGTTGTACAGAGTGTATATTTGCAATTTTTCACGATTTCGTTTCGTATGCATCAACCTGATGTACATATTTTTAGAACAGAGTTAACTGCTCTTATTAAGTAAAGTAAATTTCATGCCTCGCGGGAAACATACGTTCCGTGCGTATTACTGCAAAACGAAGTTGCACTTGTTTCCATAATTATTTCGTCCACCCCTTTTATACTTCGCGCGTTTCGTCGCGTGTACGACAATCGATCAAGCGAGTATCTATCGTGACAAGCGTGCGAAGAACGTGGAGACTTTTCATTTTCGCAGCACCGACACTGATGAGCAGCTGACCGGCGAGGGGGTGGAAAGTGAAGGGGTTGAAGGAACGTTGGAGGTCTGAGAACGGTTAGAGTAACGGAGAGACAGAACGCTTGGTCAGGGAGTGGGAAGCAAGCGTGAGTAGGATAAACGCGAAGAAACGGGGTTTGGTTGGGGTAGAGAGCTGGTAGAGTAAGGGTAGGTCGAAAGAGGGTGAAAGTCGGCGTGGAAGAGAAACAGGAACGGCGGAGCGCAGAGGGGTCGGCGAGGGCGAGGGGCCAGGAGGCAGGTCTGCAATAAGAGCAGAAACATCGGTGCCAGATGAGCGTGCCGTGAGTCATGCCGTATTCAGACCTCGACTTTTCTCTCCCCGCAATAAAACTCGGTGATATTACCGGGGTAGATTACCCCGAATCTACCCCTGTGGGTGCGTCCGGTTGCGAATTCACCCGCCGGTAATTAAAGTCTCTCTCGTTCTCTCCTTCTCTCGCCATCCTTTTTCGCGCTGATAACTCGAGACGCACTGCTCGACACACTCGTTCTTCCGATGTTCTTTTCTCTATCTGAGTCAACATTCTTCTCAACATCATGAGAATCGAATTTTCTCAATTGCCAATCAATTTTAATACATCACACTTTGTGTAGGTCTTAAAATTCTAATTATTCTTATCATATTTCGATCATCGGAATAAATCTGACGATTTTTGTATATTATTATTCTGTCGTGTTACTATAAAGTCAATTATCAACTCTATTTACGGAAATTGAGACGTAATGTAAAAAGCGAAGGCTATGAAAAAGGTGGACGATAAAATTTGTCGGCACCGAGTCGCAGGAGGATCCTTGACGAATCGTATAATTCAAATTGTCTTCTGCATTATGTAACGCGGCCGGGCGGTAGCCGCATTCATCTCGCGTATCTACGAAAATAAAACGTCTCAGGGTTTTCTACGAATACATCTACAGGGTGTCACCTGTCAAGCGACCTTACCTCTGCGAATCTCGAGGGCGCGTGCGACTCTATTGTTCGCGCTTGAGATAAAAGTCTCGATTCAAGGTAGACGATGTACGACTGCGAATACGAGTGTCGCGAGAAACATGCACGTTGACCTCGCTTCGCTTTTGTTAAAAAATTGCCAGGGAATTTTGGAGCTTTCCCAAAAGTCGGGTTGAACAATTTTAAACAGCGTCAACCTTCTCGACGATTAATCGTCTCGCACGAAATCAGATTTTCTTAAATTAGATAGAACAATGCGCGAATCATGCGGTGGTACAAGAACGAAGGGTAAGAACGTGTACAGAATCCGTGCTAGTCAGTCTTCGATCAATCGATAAAAAACAAAATTATTTTCCCATCGATGCTGACCACAATTCCAATCACGAGACGCGAGTCTCCTAACCCAGTGTAAAACCTTATAAACGCGCCGACGTTACAACATCCCACAAACCTTCGGAAATAACGTCTCACAGGTGTAATCGGGTTGAATCCAATCTTGGGAACGACACGTCCCAATGATTTTGCTCGAAGAAATTGAAATCGGTATCGGCGGACTCCGTCCAAAATTATTCACCTTTATTATATCAAATTTCAATCAACAGATAATAAAAGAATCGTGAGACTATATGATAATAAGAACTGCAAATTTTATGCATTTATAAGAATTTATAAATTTTATACTATTAAACAAACCTCAACGTTTGAATGATAAAAGAATTGTTTACCTAATTTATTCATTCCACAGTCTGATGATAACAATGAGAACAAGGTATTGCGAAATCGATGAATCTTACATAAATTGCTAAAAATTTGTCGAGATTGCAAGCTCGTTTATTAGACGTGGAAAAGTCGTGGATGCTGCTTTTGCTTTTTATTTCATTAATTGCATTCTAACCAGAGGACGACATTTAATCGAACGCGCAAATTTCATCGCGGCTCGTGATATATTGGGGCATTAAGCAAGAAGGGATGTAGGGCAGAAACCATAAATAGCGTCTTGTCGCAGCTGTCGATGCGCCGCGTCGAGTATAATGCATACGCGATAGAAAGGAACGACGCCTCCACCCCCGAGGAAAATTCAATTTACAATCGTCCCGTGGTCTTGTTTTCAATCCCCGAGGAACGATAACGTTACGAGGAAGATTTTGCAACAGAATTAGATCTAGATTTATTCCATTCTGAGACTGTTCTATCCTCTCCAGTTTCTTCTGTTTCCAATTCGTTTACCGTGTTTCATTTTCCATTTTACCAATTGAAAAATTTTCTGCCAAGACCACTCAACGTTCGCTTTGCATATTTCTGTATCAACGATAAAATGCAGTTCGAGCTGTTTCGTAATAAAACACGCTCCTTGAATTTCATTTGATCTGAATCGAGCTTCATTTTATCATTTGTAACCATGATTGCAAAAGTACTTTCGCAACGAGCATGGGGCTGAATTTCGATTGTCCATAGCCTGTGATCACAGAATGGAACGAGTAACGAAATAGTCAAGTAGAATTGAATTGGTAGCAGGGGTCGACAACAGGTGCGACGTCGAGGACAACGCAGCTCGAGCGGAATCTCAACTCGCGAGTAGGAGGAACGATCGAAAGTACCGATGACCTTCGAGTTAATACATCGGCCGGACGACCGGGTCCTTCGGCCTTGACTTTCGGTACGACGTATCCCATATTGGCTCTGGATAGCCAAGACGATCTTCGTCCTTGGGCAGACACGCATAGCCTAGTCCGGTTATTCTTATTCCTCGAGTGCGACGAACCCGATACCATTAGTGTCGTCTATGGAAAATTTTCTTGACAAGACGTATTTTTAGCTTTTTTATAACAACAGTCCTTGCTGGATTCTTCTTTTCTCAATTCTTTTCAACAGACAGACGAATCCTTATTGATGTTAACTTATACAGACTCATGCAATTAATCATATGTTATAATTTGTAATGCTTCATACAAATAAATTCAATTTATGCTTCGTTATAAAAGACGAGAATGAAGAATTATTGTTTCATCAAATGTTACGAAACGTATACATGTATGTATGTATGTATGAAATCCGCAGTATCGATTCAGGGTTAATGATTTTGCGTTGTACAGAGAAACATGGATTGCGGATGGGTAATAATAG